ATAGAATTCACTCGACATTGCTGAAGTTCATCTAGGGGAACAAACCTGCCCGAGTAAGGCTCACTTCCTTGCAGCACCATAAATCGAATGGCAGTAATCGGTGTCCCTGATATCCACAAATATTATTTTGCCACTAATGCTGCAGTGGCTGTGAGCTTTAATAACCAGGTTAATAAACCCAGATGGAAATAGAAGAATCGAAAATTTTACCGGTTAGGTGGTCAGAATTACCTTGGTTAAATCCCAAGACCTGGAATTACAAAGTTATTTTTATCTACCAAGACTACGCTCAAGGCCTGGGACATTGTTTTTAAAAATGACCAGTCTCCCAGTTTATATAGAGCAATGACTATTGAGTTATTGAAAGATTATATACCATCCTTAAAAATAGAATTGTTCCTTAAGGGAATAAGTAACCCTTAACTGGGACTACGAGCAAATGGCACCCTCCTACATAGCCTCTAACCCAAATCCATATGGGATAATTATACACGTAAAGCTACGAGGGAAGACCAGGAGTGGGGGGGTAACATAAGATACTAAGGTACGCAGCCAAGAAGTGTACCAACAGAAACACACACGAGCCAACAAAGCATTGATAGAATCATTGACGATACTACTGCTAAATGCGTCCCCTTCCTACCCACCCCCATCCTCTTCTGTACCCTGCCCAATTGTCAACCCAGGATGTTAAACTTCAACCAAGACTGGTTGAATAAGAGAAAATGTTTAGTTTGATAGAACGGAACAGATGTTAGATACACCCAGAAGAACGAGCCAGATACTGGGAGTGTATCTCTAGATTATCTCTGCATTATCTATGTTATTTTTACGTTACCATATTGACGTGATGTTTTCTTGACAAACAATGCATCGATTACTTGATTGACAATCACCCCCTAAAAATCCTCTTTCCTTTCTGTACCTCAAAAACTTAAAAAAGTCAAATTGATAATTTTTTATGGCAATGCTATTCTTTCTTTGGAAATATTGAAGCTTAAGTATGGATCAAATGTAAGTGCCCAGTACGACCTAGAAGAATGGGTCTTTTTTTTTTTTAAAGTCGTATTGCACCGACCATTTTGAAAATAATAAAAATTTTATATCACTGGTACTTGGCTCAGTGTAGATTGCACAACATGAACAATATGTACTCTGATCGGTGTTGGAGAGATTGTGGGGGTGTGGACAATATGGCCCATATCCGGTGGTTCTACCCCAAATTAACTAAATATTGGAAAATGATTCATTATCTAATTATTAAAGTGAACGGAACCATTAGCATCTTAACCTCGGAACTAGCCTTATTTTAAAAAAAACTCCCGGAGTCCGTTAATAGATCAGATAAAATAATCATAGGCCACATTCTGATCGCTGCTACATCCTGTTTACCTAGACATTGGAAGTCCCAAGATGGCAATTTGATTCTAGAAAACAAGGCACACGAATTATCGCATAGAGCCAATATGCATGTTTTCCCAATTAAAAAAAAAAAAAAAAAAGTTTATGGTCTTTGATATATTTATTGTTAAAGTGCATTGATGTACAGATTTTTTGCCATATACATTGTTATGCCTATTTCAGTGATGGATGATACCCCTTCCCATTTCCCCTAATACAATGTTAGTATTACTACTTGTTACACAAAATTTTAAAACTAATACAAATTTGAAAAGAATAATCTGCACTTTTGTGCCAAAGGCTCGGTATACCCAGATTACGTAATGCCAATTTTGTGCGTAAAATGCATCCGTCGTCAGTGCTCACTGCACGCTGGCAGTGACCGTATTAAGCTGCTCCCTTTCCGGCCTGCAAGGCGTCATACATGTGTATATTAAGTGTGCAGTATTGGTAGAAAAAAAAAAAAAAAAAACCCCAAAACAAACCTTTAAAATACAAATAAAACAGGCTTCCACTGTACCTATTGCTAACTGAAAGATTCCCCATTCATAGAGGACTGGAAACCACTAATTCCCTGCAATCCAGTATTAAGGGACTCCCTAAAATCAGACAGAAGGGGGAGATTTCTGAATGTGTCACAGTATTTAGTTTTTACATTTTTGGGGCAGTGAAATTTGTCAGGTATTTTGTCTGATGCTTCTATTGGGCTAACAACTGGTTTTATCTTTTTGTCATTTTTACCTGCTGAAATGTGTCTATTTCATGTCTCCAAATTTGATGGTCCTTTCTATAAAAAAAATGCAAATTTAGGAAAAAAGCCAGAGAAAAGCAGATTTTTACATCCAACTTTAACCCATTGCTCCCAGTCCTCATTCTGCCGATGGTGACTTTCTGAGCGCATGACCCTTTGACTCTTTACAATTGTGATCTATCGAACGTTCTCTAGAAATCCAATCATGGAAAAGGCCGGATGGAAAGCTAGTAGGTTCTCTCTAGATGATTTCCTGTTACTAAGACTCATGGAAAGGCAGGTGACATAACAGCAGGACCACTTTCACTCAATAAAACCGGCACTGTACGTTTTCTGTTACTCCACTTCTTGCTGAATAAATTCACCTGTTTTTACAGAAATCTACTATACTTATCCATTATCAGCTCGATGAGTAATTTCTAGATCTTTAAAATATGCAAACAAAAATTATAATATTGATTTGATATAATATTTATTGAATAATATGCACCTTATATTATAAAAAAATCCTTACGGTCAGCTGACCTCTCAGCCAATGATCTGTGCCCCGCACCGCCAGGCTAGCTCAGGGAGTGTCAGCTGACCTCTCTCAGCCAATGATCTGTGCCCCGCACCACCAGGCTAGCTCAACGAGTGTCAGCTGACCTCTCTCAGCCAATGATCTGTGCCCCGCACCACCAGGCTAGCTCAACGAGTGTCAGCTGATCTCTCTCAGCCAATGATCTGTGCCCCGCACCACCAGGCTAGCTCAGCGAGTGTCAGCTGATCTCTCAGCCACGAGCTGTGCCCTGTTCACAGCAGGTTATAACAGTAAAAGGGTTCTCTACTAAGTACTAAAGATGCTTGCCATAAAGGGGTTAAATAATTTTACATTTTTAGGTGAATTGGGGGAAACCACTTTAAACATTCGTTCTGTTGAGCGATTTCAATTGTTTGTTTGATTTGTACATTGCAAACAGCTGAAAGTCATTACATTTTGAGGGAAAGAGGGAAAGAGGGAAAGAGGGAAAGAGGGAAAGAGGGAAAGAGGGAAAGAGGGAAAGAGGGAAAGAGGGAAAGAGGGAAAGAGGGAAAGAGGGAAAGAGGGAAAGAGGGAAAGAGGGAAAGAGGGAAAGAGGGAAAGAGGGAAAGAGGGAATAATGTTGGTTGCTATAGGTGCCTGGGATGCACAACTTGCAGCCATATGGTCCGGGGCAAGTATTTATATAAAAAAAAAAATTACACACACTTTAGTAAAAAACATACAAATTTAATTTATCTGTAGGATTTTGTGCCCTTGTGGGTTAGCGTATGTTGTAAAGACTAAAAATAGCTTAGAAAACACTTTGCTAATACATGGCT